GTATATCACTATCAGATCAGGACTAAAACCTTATCAATTTATGTATCTCAAGAAATAGTAAAGTCATAAATAAACAATATAGATACTGTTTATACATTTCAGATATTTGTTTATATATTTTCGAAACTTAGGTCTCTCCTTCATATAGCTATAAAACGACTTACGTCTCGATCTCGATGTACTCCCTGCATCAAATTTGAGGTTTTCTCTTCATCTATGTATACAGTTGCTCTACATAGCACTTGAATACAGAGAGATGATATTTTATATAAATTCAGTAAATTAAATACAATGTTTAAATGCAATTAGCAATGGCGAGATTAGCTGACTTCTCTGATTACATCTAATGTATAATTATTTACATTTTATTACAGAGTATATTTATATATTTATTATATTTTTAATCTATATTGAAATATACATAGCTAAACATTACGTAACGTGATACATTGCGATTACTTCGATGCGCCATATGTAATATTTGTATTATACAAGCACCGAAGTGTTTTAATACTTTACTCGCATTTTTTTCTATACGCCGAATAAAATATTAGAGCAATTATTTATATGAGGCTGGATTTAAACTGTGAACAATTGTATATTGCTCTAATTAGTCTTGATTATACAATTGTCTTAAAAATGAGTTTGGTTGACCCATTGTTGACAAGACCTTAGGTATTGGTGAAACAAAGTATACTATAAAAGTATTTTTGTTTTAATACAAGCACAACAGAAATTTCTTAGATACTAATAGATGTTATATTTTTTTAATAATCTTATTTTTTTTTTCAAAATCGTTAGGTACATAAGGATATTTTAGGTTATTCCATATGACGTTATAAGTTAACGAAATACAAGGAAAAATAAATAAATGTAGAAACATTATATTGTAAAAGGCAAGTTTTGGGAACGAGTTTTATAAATGTAGATATATATATATGTAAGTATTCAGATGAGTTTGAGTGCATTTGTACAATAAACGGACAGTTTTATAATAACCTACCTACATATATTTTTTAATAAATAAATGATATATGTGTATGATGCAATATCAGTATTCAAAATTTAAACCCAACCTTTTTATTTGTTTCTAATACCTAATGTACAAATTGACAAATACCTGCCCAAAAGCATGACTGAACTTTGTTTCCAAGTACAAACATGGTTATAACTTAATTACTTAGTAAACATACCAATGTATGTTTGCATATGCAGACAATCTGCATTGAATATAATGTTATACAATCGCGTTATATGCATCGTTTGAAAATGTATACAAATCCAAAAAATGTTATGTTATGTTTTGAAAGTCCAAATATTGTTTTCACATTACCACTATGTCGCTTAGTGAAAATTGTTTAGTTTCATGAATAGATATAACTCAGGTTATAATATGTGAGTGTATAAACGTTTTAATACTTCATCACAGAGTCGTTGATTACATACTCTCCATAATTAACAGCAGAGTTATTGTGATAAAGTACAAAAGTATTTAAATGGTATGTCCTTTCAAATATAATATGAGTACTATACACATTAGTGTTAAAATAAAGTACAAACTTTATATTACACTACACCTCTATTACACTCTATTAGACCAGCGTTGTTGACAAATATATAGAGATATATTATGTATAATATATAAACTAAACAAAATACTAGACAATTCTTTGCACTTTTGTATTTACCTGTTTCTAGATTTATAAAGATTTCTTTAGCACTTTATCAAAGTGATATTATAGATGTATGTATTTCGCTACACTAATATTAAAAACGTCTTGGGGTCGATGGAGTTTTGATACTCTTTTAATAAAAAGTTATATGCGGGTAGCTGTTTAAATTCGAATAAAATATATAGTATCGCAGGATATAATCACCTGTCCACATTTTTTACTTTGAATCTGATTGCATTGTTTTTCCGAGAGAGAGAGAGAGCAACGAATATTCATCCATCCTTACAAATTGCATTTATAAGATTAATACAATATACACATTTATATATAATCTGATAAAGGTTCCCCTAAATATTTACATAGTATTACATAAAATTGTTCTAGTAACTGCGATATTATACAAATTAACTTTAATATAATGAAATTTAGTAAAGTAATACTTGACTAAATTATTTCTGAACGCTGAACTATGAACTCGCTATTTTAAGAATTTTCAGACAGATTATGATTACATTACATTTATAATTCATTTTTAAATCATTACATTTCTACTTTAATTATATTAGACGACATTTATGCTTTAATATTTACGAGGTCCCCAAACTAAAATAATTAAGGCATATCTGTAAGACAGTCTAATGCAGTGATGTAGCATTAAGTGACAAAACGATGATTATCATTTTGTTACTCAAAGTTAATCAAAAGTTGTCTATTACAAATTGTTACAATTGATTTAATCACAAATACATCGAATAGTACTTATTTAATTTGGTATTTGACAGGTATTAAATACAATAAACTTAACAATTATATAATGAAAGGTAGGTATGTTATATATATTATTACTTATATAAACAAGTATTAAACTGTACAATTACGGGGTAACAATAATACAATATTTCAATTTTGACTAGTTCGTATGTAATAATTTCTGCAGTAATATATTTTTCCATTATCGACAATAAACTTTTTTGACGCATTGTCTTTTTCCCTAAATTTTAGCAACAAATTAATATAAACTATATTATGATAGATATTTTATACATATTTGGTTTTATTTACTTTAAAATGAATAATTTCAAATTATTTTATGTATACATTTAAATAATTTTATTCTGTTTCAAATACAATATCAAACATACTTTACCTTGTTTGCCTGCAAGTTTAATTAATAAAATATTAATTAGAATTAAACCAGACTGAGTTCAAATTAAAAAAAAATTCATGGATATTTCTTATGTAATATCGACAGCTAAAGGTTAACATACTATGTACGATTGAAGTCACGGGAAATTCAATATTAATCTTTAGGAGATAAGTTACAATTTACAGCTTTAAACAACATTTTTAATTAAAGTCTATCCGTCTGACTTGCCTTGTTTTATTCCGAAATTATTTAGTTTATAATACGATAATAGAAATTCCTAATATACTACGTACTTACGTTTTATAGTATTTTAATAGGACTATTAATATATTGATATGTGTTAACTGCCTTTATTTACTTCTACAAATATTGCAAACTGTATAATTATAGGTATACATATGATTTTACAGTAAAAAAAATATACACTGATTTGTTTCAATGTCAGTAGATTATTTCTAGATTTATAAAGATTTCTTAAGTAGATTTTCCTAATTAATAAACTTTTTCAGATTGTTACTGTAACTTAAAAGTATGTTGTAGTTTAGACGATTTGTTTATATTAGTCAGCCGCTACTAAATAATATGGCACGTACCCAATTTTTAAGGTGTTGTATAATAGTATGCCCACATATATTTAGGCAAATATTATGTTAGGCATAATTAAATTATACAATGGCTATAGTTTAGTAACAATTCAGTCACTACATTTTATATTATATGAGTAAATAACTATAAAATAAGGTGCCAATCATTATCATATGTGATTTGTACAAGTTCTTCAGGTCAGAGTTCGTATAATTCCGTTCTTTAAAGGTTATTATTAGAGCAGTTCTAACGCTATACTGCTACGCTAATGCTATACTCGGTAGTTTGTGTCTGAATTTATTCATTACCAACGTTATATATTAAATTAACGTAACATATATTAACATTTTTGGAAACATACAACTCTTCCTTAATTATTAACACATAAAATGTAATACAGTTACTCCATAAACTCCAATTTTGGTGGAAAATCCAAATAAGTGCCGTGTAGGTAAATGAATATAGCTCCGGGCTTAACATGACTTGTGCCAATTATTCCTCGGTTACTGAGACGCTTCGGCTCACGTAGAAAACTATTATACTTTCATAATGGTTTATCACGAAAACTCGAAATACTTATCTAACCATCATTTTCTAGTGTTATAAATGTTGTATTATTGTTGTTTTAAAATATATTTAATAAATAAATAAAATTAAATAAATTTAACTTTGCCTACTTTTGACGACATTTATTCATTTATGGAAATGTTCCAACAGGTTTATCTTACCATTCCAATGAATGGAACGTATATTAATACCAGCATTTGGGTAACAATATAAGTCTTTGGACATAAATGAGGTCACAAAATTAAAAATAGTAAAGGGAAAGGGAAACGGCGAAATTTATACACGACAAATGAACGTCATAAAAATGGTGGCACATGTACCTATATTTTTTTATATAAATAACGTTACATTTATGAGTCCAAGTACACACGAGTTTCATGAGTATTCGGTTATATTAGAGAGAATGTATCGCCATTATAGTCTTCTACACTTTTACAACTTAATATCTTTGGCTACATTTTTCTGTGTTCTTAAAATAATTATTAATGTCTAATGATCTGTATAGATGTAGGCGTTATTTAACGTAACTAACAATTTACAGGATATATACGAATAACTAATTACGAGTCGATAGACAAGTTAGTTATTTACTTTAAAACATTTAACTGATCTCAACTTCTACTGTTCAGAGGAAGTAAATAGAGTATATATATATAACGAAGTTTTGTAAACGTATGTTATGCTAGTTATTTCACTTCATTATATACAGTATTACCGAAATTATGGAGGCTCAATACCATTTCGGATTCCCACGTTTAAGACTGAGGTCATAGGCCTTTAACTATAGTGATTTTGTTGCCAAATTTTATTTAGATAAAGAATCAAGTGAACACTCGATCAGTAGTTTTATTAAATTGCTGCACTTGGGGACAATATAATAGTTATAAAAGGGGAAATTGATACCTATGATATAATGACGTAGATATCAATATCTGAATATTAAAATAGAATATAGCCTATGTTGTCTTGAGGAAGTTATAACACGCTGATATGGTATAAGCAGATGTATCTACATTACCATATATTAGTAGCAGTTACAATTCCTGTAAACTTTTAAATGTCTAAATTAATATTCCGTCCCTAATGAATGATCCATTCCCATATAATGTTCGAAATAGAATCTCGCAATGCATTAAAATATCCAATTTAATCGTTTGTATTTAACATTTTGCTTTTATAAATAATTTCCTCTATCATAATCTTATTCTCAACTTTACTATCATTTACAACCATAATTTGATCTTAACAACATTAGGTATATTCAAATTACCCACTGATTATAGCTAAGTATATAAATTTCAGCTCTGTTTAGGTGTAACTGTAAGGTTAAAGTGCCTCGGTGGTCCTGGCATTATTAACAAAGTAAGTTAGTTAATTGTTATTATAACAAATTGATATTATTTGTAACTTAAGAGTAAGTATGGAATGGATTCTGGTCCTAAAAGCATAGAGAGCGAACCAGCAAATTGTCAAAATATTCGTCCAAGCGTTTTCCATCACTTTTCACACCTATACTTCACAACAAACGTAGAACTATCACAAATCTTGTTTCAGCACTTATAAGAGCATATCACATATCGTTTCATTCCGGAGTCATGTTGGTAACATGTATATAATCAACGTACACAACACAAGTAGACGTGTGGTGACACTGAGTCCGGTGGAGGAGCCCCCAGGTTTAACCGCGGCTTGGACCCGGTCCGCGCGCGATGTTCCCTCACTGAGCTCCCGGGACCTTGCGTAGCCTTTCAAGCGTTCCCCTTGGACGCTCTCCTCATTGCTACGCCAATACACTGTTGCTATTGTGGCCAAACACTGTCAAAGAAACAGATTTATGTTATATTGAAACATAACTTATCTGTTATTACATATTACATTAAGCGAGTAAGTAAGTACACGTTAAGCCTTTTTGGTTGCCGTACGCTTCCCTAAATTCAATGTGAACACAATGTAAACATCGTAATTCATGATATTTAGGGTTAACACTTCATGAATATAGATTGTAAAATAAATATGGATATAAATTTAAGTTTATTCTACTTTTAAACGAATAAACATTTTTTTTTTTAACTATTAACTAATACTTTTTACAAACCAAATATTACAGTATTTTGTTATTTTTTTTTATTGAACGTATTGAATTGTTTTGACCTTATAGTCAAAACAATTCAATACGTTCAATAAATTTATCGTTTTTATGTATATGGGGATTAGTATTTTAATATACATATGTGTAGTTAAACTATATAAATTACATGAATTTAAAAATATTTTTTGATAGAGGGAATCAAATGTTTGTATATAATATTAATGGCAATTTATAATCAAAATAAGTGATAATATAACACAAAAACTTTTGCGGATGGCAGATCGTAAACACCAAAAGTTGCCAACTTTTCAAAACAAGCAAAAAACGTAAATCGATAAAAGTTTTAGCTCATAACTTCTGTTTGTAAACTTATGTTGATCAAAATAAGTGAGAAATGTTTGTATTCAATATAATACTTTGGAGGGAAAACTTTGTTTAAACTCATGGAATGAGGTTCTGCAAAAATGCAGGCACTAAAAGGCTTTTACAGGGGTTCCAATGCACCTGACACCTTTGATAAACGTCAGTATAAGCAATACAACGTATAGTCTTAATTATAGTACATGCTATGTACGAATTATTATGTCAACAAAAATATAAAATTCTAATAATTATAGTATCTCAATAAAAGGTCTACTTGTTAAATTCAAAATATAAGGTACTATCTGTTACCTGCAACTTCGAGTGCTTTTTTAAAATAACTCATGAAGTAAGATATTTTCACGTCAAATTTAATTAAGATCCGTTGGTTGTATAAAGGTAACAAACAAATATATGTTCGTATTTCTAATATTAGGGAAAATTTACATAACGTCGTCAATTGGTATTAGTAAATATGCCTTAACAGTTTAACTTTAATACTCTATTTTAATATGTATATTTGGCATATCTATTTTCAATGTTATTTTTACATACATATGGTACATAGTAGAAAATGAAAGAATGAGTATAAAGTTAAGACAGTTAGCTCGAGATGAAATCATTAGGAATAAAACACGACTGTTTGCACGAAGGAACAGCGTGGAGGTTGCTAGCTTTGCTCTGTCTTACAAAACTCATCGCCCTGCGATATAAAAAACTATAATCAGGGTTGCCACTAAGCCTTATACTAAAAAATAAAAAAAAAATACAAATTCTTATACTAACATAATTTTATAAAAATTTTAACCTACTTTTTATTTATAACATACAAAGATTCTTCTATGGTTGGCATACCTGCTTCTAATACATATAATATAACAATTTTTAAAATTACTTACTTTTAATTTAAGGTCTCCCTTCCTAAAGTGTTTGGGCTTGGCTTTGAAGTCAAGTGCGAGACTGGTGACTTCCAGCCCGTCGTCAGTTATTTGGTGCGTGGGGGCCAGAACCGCCGGGGAGGGGGCCGGCTCACCGTTAATATACCACGCTAACCGGGTAGCCGGTCGTGACTTCCCCGACGTACAATTCACTTGGACCCTGTCTCCAATCTGATATCGCAGACGCGACCCTGTTATCGTTGGTCCATGGTCGGGCAATGCTGGAAATTTACACTAATTTACGATGTTTTGTAAATAGAATTACAGTGTATACAATTATTACCATTTCTAGTCCTGTCTGTCTGTCTTGAAATGTTATGTTGAAACATTATCATATGAAAGCAAAACGGAGTAAACCACTATATTAAGTAACGATGACATTTGATTTTTTTTATTTTCTATGAGCCATATCAAAGTTTCATGAGAACTAAGTTGTACGATTCGCAATGCAAGAGTATTCACTCGTATTACACTATTGCATATTTTAACGCGTTTCAAAAGAGAATTATTAGTTAACGTCCTCACATAATTAAGGCTCCGATTCAACACAAAATGAATCATAAAAAATTCCTTACATTTTAGCGAAAACAGAACCTTCTCCTCTTGACAGTCGGTTAAGATTTATGAATTAGATATACTCTACGCACATTTTTGTATATCCATTTCTTTAAAATGTGATCGCCGATAACCACGATTTCTTTTTAATTGAATGGGTATATTTAGGGAGGTCACGCCGTACGAATCTTTTAAAATTAAAGATTATTTTTTACTCCTCGCACAAGATACGTTGTTACGTACAACGTATTTTTATACTATAAATATTATAAAATTTCATGAAAAGCTTTTTATATGCAGTAAGTTAAATATATTAAATGATATTCTATCGATTGAGAATTCCGTTTAGGTTTGGCTAAACTTTATTTAAATTATAAAATATAGCTTGTAGAATCTACTTATTCAAGTAGTCATTATTTACAAATTTATATAATACTTTTTTGAAAGTTTAACTTTTTAATTAAAATTTCAAACGTTACAATTTAATCACAATAAATGTAACGAAAATGTGATACGTACATATAAACACCCTTAATATTATAAAGCTTCTCCACCATGCGAAAGAGTCGTAAATACTCGCACAAGTGTATAATAATAAAACTGTAAAGAGAATATTACATAATAATAGTAACCCTCATGGGAAACAATTTCATTGAAATACTGACGTACACAGAGTCTGCTTAGTCATTTTACTAACTGTCCAACACATTCTATTATCGTTTCTGATTAAATTGGATGTTAGTTCCAAAACTTGGAAGATCTGTTCGACTTTCCCTCGAAACTACTGTAGATTAATCGCTTATCCTAGTCTCGTCAATGTAGCATGCAATTAATAGGATCAATAGTCTATACATAGATTACATAGGGTTGAAACTTTATGGGAAGCTGATGTCTCATTGTTTTGCAGTTTCATTCACGTCTTCAGCTTTAATTTTATGACTAGCGTACATAAGAAAATATATTTTAATGGCAATAACTAGACGAGACGCATTATCATTAATACATTAAGGCGAATAAATATTGAGTAATAACTATGAATCTGAATAAATTTACCGAAGAAGTAAAGCGGAAAATTGACAATAATTTTTAAAATTTTCATACCAACTAAGCGTCTACTTGATAAATTTAGTATAATATGTACGAAATATATTTTCGAAATATATTCAGTTTTACCTTGATTTGTGATGTCTAACTATATAACAACCCACTAAAGTCCTATTTTTAAACATTATTTGCCTCATGAAAACAGCCTACTACTACTACTAGGTAATATTATATACCTAATTAATGACATTATGAATAGCTGACTTCGTATTGATTTTTGTTCGCTTAAATAGTAAATTATTCAATACAATAAAAATTTAAAATCCTAATATTTATATCTGTATAATACTTAATTATTATACAGATATATATATATTAGGATTTTTGCTTTTTGATTTGGATGCAAACTTTGCATTACTACATCAGAATAAAGTTGTTATCAATTGAATTTATTATAATATCCATATAAATGAACAATATTTCTCCAAAACTTACTGATTATTTATATATGATAAGCCCTGTATTACTATTTTTATTATTATTTAGTTACACAAACATTTCATAAAAATAGTGGATCCCAATTTTTAGCTCATATTTACAGAATAGAACAAAACTCTTATGCCTATACGCAACTTACCAACGATGGTCATGTCAGCGTGGTCTGACACAGTGAGGAAGAGCGGCCGCTCCCCTGACACCTCGCAGCGGTACCTCCCACCGGTTTCCAGGACCGCCGCATGTAGAGTGACATTGGCAGCGTCCCGACTTGATGCCTGCCATTATCATTGACATGATTGGATGCGAATGTAAACTGATAAACACAACAATATTATAATAATCAAGAAATTAAACATACCAATTGAATTAAGATACTTAATAGTAGAGGCGACTCTATAATGGACGACAAATACTTTTTTATGATATTTCTGTAAGCTTCAAAACTTGCCATAACGTAATTCGGCACCTATTAATGTACCTTATCGAAATGTGTATAAAATATATAATATACGTATATTCTCAATATATTTTATATGAATAAGTAGAATTATTTTTTATGTACCATTACAGTTGAATTTTGAATTACCATATATTTTTCGATACAAGTTTTGGTGTTTCGTGACAACGTTTGCTTACTGGCCAAGCTATAAAAGACATTATATATAAAAACAAAATATTTTATCAAGAATTGTCATTTATGTAGGTTCTAGAACTATGCTAACATGTATAATCCAGTTTTTCTTTTTAAGCCTTAGGGTTATTATAAAGAAATATTGTAGTAATTGAATAATTCTTAAAAATAATAGTACCTATTCCTTTCGACCTAATATTTTTATATAATTCTGTTGGTACTTAATTCAAACATGTAAGAATCTCAGTATATTTTATATTTAAAAAAAATATTTATTTGGTTTTCTGAGTACTATACAATGACATATGACCATATACCCTTTGAAAGATCTGAAGTGAAGATGAACATAGAAATGATCTTCATGTTATATATAACTAGGGCATACGGGCACAGATCTCCAAATGCTACAAACTGAAACTTGTACCAATCGATAAAATTAAACGATAATAGAATGTGTTGCATGAACTCATTCTTTACAATTTTAATAGGTCATAGATAAGTATAAAAAATATAAGATATTATTTATTTGCTTCAATAGTCATCACATGTAGTGTATATGTATACATAGATATAGTCACGTAATCTTAGTTACATGTAAATATTAAATACAATAATATTGCAATCCCCTTGCTTTTGATATCCTTCCTTGTTCAAATCCTTTGTTTACGAATTTTATTTTCCCCTGAAGGTTCAAGCATTCATTGTTAGTGATACTGTTTATAGCGAATGATTTGGTTACAGATATCATATCACATATTGTTTCCAAGCAACCATAAAATATTAAATAATGTTAGGGTATCAACGACACAACATTCGCCTTCTTTGACATGGCTTGTTCAAGACACCAATCATTATCATATATTTCCTTTCATCCTTCTGTTTATATCTATTTTCGTTATAACACAAGTAAAACAAAAAAAGATTTCTTGTTTTGTTTTCTTCTTTTCACTTCATATTATTACCACTATTTATCTTAGTAATATATATTTATATACTTCTTACACGTGTTAATAAAAAGTACTAAACAGTACTTAAATAATAATATGTCTGTGTAATGCCAACGGGAAAATAGAAGCTCGAATTATACTTTTTGTAATACCTATTTCTTATTCTAATAACATAAATGTACCTAACTAATTGTAATATCTAGGTAATTAGAATGGCCAAGAAGCTGACAGCCTACCTGATGGTAAGTGGTAACTGTCTCTTAGATACATGCGTTACTGTCAGTGTTACAGCCATTACGTTGTCTTTTAATACGACTCATATCATCATGTCATGTCATCATTATCATCGGCATTATTAGCCCACTACAGTCCACTGGACCTTGCTATGTTATGTTTAGTCATGTCTTTATTAAGTTGTAATTTTATGTTATCTTTAAAACAATGGCATACATAGAAATTCGTTTAATTACACTAGTTCAAAAAATTATAACATTTTGGTGCATGAAAGAAACTAACACAATAAAATTTAAAGCAGGAAGTCGCAGATTACATTTCAAACAGCGATGTTAAATCCATTACTATACCACTTTACGTCGCTCTATTAAAGACGTCTTTTAGAGACAGCCTATAGAGCGTTCATATAGTATAAAATTAGTGAGTTCTGAGAGCAATACAGTAATTGGATTGAATTATAGAGTATCTGACACATGTTTTGGGTACATACCTATTGTATTTCTTTATTTATTCTTAATTGTATATTATTAGGTTATCTACAATTTACATTATTAGCCGTTATTATAATTGTATTATTATGTTATAATGAGGTCTTTAAATAAATTACGTAAAGTAAAGATGCATTCAGTATTTACTAAAATTAGTTTTACAATAAATTCTATTATATATAGTTTTAATTTTAATAGACTTTAATTATACTGTTTTCTTATTGTACTTCTTTTACATGCACAATAAAAATTTTACTGTTATGGTTATTTAATGTACTATAAGAAACTCCTGTAGATAAGAAAAAGTAATATGAAGAGAAGAATAGAATAGTTATGTTAAACACAATCTAATAAAATTTAAACATATCTCCATCATGTAAGCAATTAATCATATTTTGTGCGTTAGAAAAACTAGTATTTGAACGTTCTGTTCTCTTTAATGAAGTGTTTTAAAGAATAGGTCGCATTCCCCATGGGAGAATGAATCCTTTCTGTTAAGGTCGTGAATAAATGAAAAAGAAAATAATTTGAGAGTTACTACACCTACTTTAAATTCACTGATATAGGTCCTAGTTTTAACCCAGGGCCTAGAATTTCGCCTGGATTACAAAGTTTAAATGTTGTGCATTAAACTTATCTGTAATTATAACGCAACTAGTGATAATAAATTGTACATATTCTTCTTAATTCAAAACAAAATGCGTGTATGTCAAAGTTTATGATGATTGATTGAGTCGTTAAAGAGTTAGAAGATAATAACAAATTCACTTTCATATATATTATTAATTATGATTAATTGTAAAGGTATCATACAGCTTTATTTACATATTAACTCTCCCTTATCTCTGTTTATTTATTACTTTATAAATATAAATATAAATACACTATTTACTTATTTCAGTCTCGTAATTGGATATATAATTAAAACTTTTGACGGGCGTCTTACAAAATTAATATAAATATACAACTTGTAAGTGGACATAGAAAATTAGTCTGAGACAGAAATTATAATTAGGAACAATAATTATTTTAATTAGCAAAATATTACTACTTTGGACGAAACCTAAATATTAAGTAACAAGTTATTACAGAGAAAATTTCATTAAAAATATAATAATTTTAATCTAAAGATTTTCATAAAATTAAACTGGCGATAGACTTCTTTACATAAAAACTATCTTTTTATGTGATTGAATGTGTGCCTATGAAGTACTAATGTGTAATGATGATCAAGTGAAATTGAATAATTATAATTGCTATATATAGACAACCCAATTGGGTTGTCTATATATAGCAATTATATATATTATAGGTTCTCTAAATTAATGTAATTATGACTAATTAGTCATAATTACATTAATTTAGAGAATAATATATATATTTATAAGGCAACGCATTCTGAAACAAGCTGAGATATCAATTCTCACCTTTAATAAATATGCAACGCACCTGTCTAATCACTATCCGAAAGGTGTACTGATTAAATTATAATAAATAACATTTGCTTCATATAAAAAAATGTGAAAGGGAGAAAATATAACTGGAATATTTGAAGTAGCAAATATAAGGTAGCCGCCAGACTGTTGTGTTTACACCTGCGCCCCTCGACGCAGTAATATCCGGTCGAGTTTTAGTATATTGTTTCCACTCGGTGAGACCTAAGCAAACTTGACTCACGGATTAATCCAATTACACTATGTTTGCTATCCAGAAGTTCATTGCAGTTTGTGATATCATCGTCTCAGATCAGTTCGTCCGCTACACAGTGTGTGAGGTGTTCTATGATGTAAACTATATAATTACATACATAATGACGCCTGTGTATGACTATAGTCTGTTATTGTATATTTTCAACTTATAAATTGTTATTAATTCATATTAAAATTAGTTTATATTATCATTGGTAACATCATTTTGTTTCTTATAAAGTGATAAAAATATATAAATTTATTACTAAGTTTATATTTTGAATAATATGGATTTTAACATTATATTATATTTAAATTGTAGTATGAAATAAAATTATTTATAATTAAATCTAAAATATAAATTACGTATCCACTTCAGATGAGCTTTGTATATTAGGTATTTTATATTTATTTATACCTAATCAGTCTATCAAACAACTGATTAATTAAACTGCACTTAAACTATTTTATGTTTCTAGAAAGGAGAGCTGTTCAGGAGTGGACGCAATCAAAATAGCGATAACACTTACCACGACATCGACGCCTGGTAGAGGGAACTTCCTGCACGGCTCGATATCTCGGGGTACATGACGGAAGAACTCCTTGCCGTCTTTATACCATTTAACCGAGTATAACACGTCAGTAGGTCCTAGTCGCCAGTGGCAGGAAAGCTGCGCCCGCGTACCAAGAGGCACGTGTGCTGGTACACGTAGCTCCAGTAACTCTAAGCTTCTCACGCCGCAATCTGTTAAAATAATATCCATCATCAATACATAATTGAACTACCAAATGAGAATATATAATACTAAAGAAAAACAATAATAACAGTATAAAATTCTCATAATGGTTGATTAAAAAATGTTTCACTCGGAGTAAATTGCTTCCACGACGCGTCACATATATGCAATAGGTAATTGTACGAATAAATGACAGTACTTTAGAATTGTGAAGATATTAAATAACTATTGAATGAAAATATAGTAGAATAGAATCGGATGGAAATTAGTAACCTCATTCATAAGATGCAATACCTAAATTATAAAATTATCTCAAAATATTTAATAACGCAGAATATAATACGGAACTTATTACCCCATTATTTGTAGAGGCCATAGTACGAAATTTAAAGAATTCATTACTTTAAACAATATTATTAAAAACTTCAGACATTTATTAAATAACAATCATAGTATATGTTAAACCAAAAGTAAAAATACTTTAATAATATTAGAAGATTTACACCTAGTGCCAAATAAAAAAAAACCCAAACAAACACATCAGCATTACATTCAGATTAAAGTTCACAAAAGTGCATGTAGAACTTTAATATCGATAATAAAATTAATTAAAGCGGCAAATTTTTCGACAATATTTTATTGTATGTAGTACGGGTATTTTTATTTGCCTGTAGATAGCGTGTTATGAAGGCAAAAATCCATTAAACGCCACGTCAAATAATTTCCCATGTGACGCGCTCGTGGCCCGTAAAAGAGGCACTATTGCCCTCGCCCAGCGGATAATATTACTTTACGACCCGCGGGGCGAAGCTCGAATGTAAGTAAATTGGTGAATAAAGACAACGAGCTACCAAACTGTTACTGTACACGACCTTAATTCTACAATTTAACAGGCACACTCATTAAAATTTGTTAAGTTATTAATTATAGGCAGATTTATACATTCCTTGTATATAAAACATAATGATTTTGGCAACAATACAATCTTATTCGCGTGGTGATGGAGTAAAAATACAATGTGTCAACATTCTTTTTTTTTCTAAATAAAAATAATATCGATTCAAAGGAAAGTTCGAAATAAAACCAATCTCAATCCGCTAGACATCGTAATAGTAGGCGGAGAGACTCGTGTCCAGCATAATAAGGGACCGTAATAGATTGTTATGACAATGATGTTCAATGTCAAACTACTCAAAGTCACCATCGACATCTTTTGGATGAATATCGCTGAAACTCCACTTTATGCCGCATTTGCATATGCGTAATTGAAAAATGCAGATTCTACTTTCTAATTAATTGTTTCTTTATACTCTTCGTCTAGGAATGGACAACCTTTATGGCTGACGTCGATGCTATGAAAATGTAATCAGTAAAAGTTTTCTGTATTTACGGTATTTAAATTTACTGGTTACGTTTCACGAAATTTGTGCGTTTGTTACCCTTTTTTAAGTTTTTACCCTTTACCTGAGGTTTGTTCAAAGTTTTACCTATTTCAGCCGCCAAGCAGCTTCCTTTCTAAGTTGTGTGTTGGTTGAAATGTATAACAAGGCAGTGACATGGTAGGAAAATTATATAAATATATAAAAAAATCTGCAAATGTTTCTGAAGTTTTTCTATTTTGGGTAGGTATTCAGTCTCTAATAAAAATGCGCAAACTCGCCAATGAATCACAATAGTAAATCATGTATTCCATTTAGTCCGAATCCTTGCTGCTCGCTTTATTTATTGCATTTTTAAATAGTAAGTTCTAGGGAAAGAAATAAATTCTAAAAAAAAACATACAAGAATATCTAAGAAATACACTTTCAGTGCTTCAATAGTGATCCTGAGCTATACGATAGATATACGATATTATTTATTTTATGCTATACATGGTATATATGTTTAGCAAAAAAGCTGTTTTAATGTTTAAGTTTTAGGATCCTTGATTAATAAGCTAATACAAAGCTTATTCATAAAGTGCACCAAAAATACAATTTCGTAAATCTTCTAAAACATATTTATTTTCAACACAATAAAAAATCTTAGGCTTTTTAACTGTTTTAGATTTCTTAAAACTTAATTACTCAACCGTTTTCTTTCTAGCCTCTAACGCCGGCAGTAACTTCTGAGGAAGGTTTAATGTACTATTTATAGATATCGAATAAATTAAACTAAGTGGAAAGTTATTATTTTGTTTTTGTCTAAAAACACATTTACAGCCATTACATACTAACAAATACAAAACTTTTAGTATAAAATAACAACACAATATGTGCTTCAATTCAGATGCGGATAATAAGTTACAACAAAAATAAATAAAAGTCTACTTAAGGACATATATAGCGCAACGCTGAAAAGGCATGGTTTGAAAGCCACGATTATGTGTCAAAAAACATCTTTATTTCACATTTTCCTCAAAGCGCGTCATAAGGACTACAAGACAAATTCCACGTGGTTTCCTTACATTCACATTGAATAAGTAAATTTAAAATCATCTGACATTTTCGACATTTCAATTCACATTCTTCTGTGATCTCCTATTGTACGTGCGGACATCTGACAATGTTATTTCTAATTTAGCGAATCTTATAATTCTGACGATTTCACACAAAAGGAAAAGTTTTAAGTTTATAATAAATAATTATGATCAAACTCTTGTACTTTAGAGTACTTTAGTTTATTTTTATATATAATATGTCATATTTATATATAAAAATTCTGACTTTTACTTATTTTGTATAAAAATAACATAAAACTAATTAGAAGTGGCCCAGCAGATAAAATAAAATTAATGTCTCAATAATCTATAAATATCTCAATGAATTTCATATAAAAAATATAAATACATTTTCACTTGAGAATCTGAAAATTTTGCACAAAAGACATAACTTGTTTTGAAAGACAAAATTTAAATGATTCAAAGAGAATGAAAGTTCAAAGAGGACAGCGATAAAAAACAATCATTAGGCATATCGCCATATTGTACCAATAAAAGACGGTTATATTTAAAAAAAATCATCTATCGTTTTCAATACTTTTCTTGTATTTTTAGACACTTTGGAGAAAAGTAGTTCTTAACCAATGTTCGTGATGGAATAATCAAATAGTCTTTGAAGTTATAAAAAATATAGTACAAAACTAACATTATTATAAATAACGAACTGTCGGTAATCTGAATAAGAATGAGTTCCACAGTAAAAAGCAGAAGAACAGTTCTAGTTGTAGAACACCTTGGTTTTCTTTAATGCTAAAATTTCTTATATATTATTATAAAAAATAATGAAGAGGATGAGAATCTTTATCTGAAAATATATATAATAAAATCGTAACGGATTGTTGTCTGAGCATGACATATATACATACATGAGACAAAATGTAATGTAAACTTTATGAAGGTAACAAAACCTGAAACAATTATTGTTAAAATTTTTGGCTATTTGTCTGTACGTTTGTCCATGTCAATCACACGTTAACTTTTAGCCAATTAGTTGTGATTTTCACTAATCAATTTTATTCTAATAACATTTCATAAGCATTGCCCTGCCTTTGCCGGCGCAGGCATCTTCTTCCATTGATCTTTATAGGCCTTCATGTCAAGGCATACACTCCTTTTATACTTATCACCTTTCAATCCATCCATCATTAAAAAAACATGCAAGTAGTTCATGCACTTCACTTTAGTGATTGTTTTATTCCAGTAATTTTACTAATAAATATGTAATTGGCCCTGGCTCAGTAATTATTTAATATTAAACAGAAATTTTCAGAATAGAAAACATGTCTGATCTTCAGACCCTTTGAACAGATTTCAAATTCTAAAGAGTGGTAAACGTAGAAGTTTGTGGTACTTTTAATATATATATTTTTCATAATGGCTTAACGACTAACGGTACGGTTTAAGTCCCCTCAATGTTATGCCATTATTATGACACGTATCACTCGAAGGGATAATACAGATACTCTTACAGAACGGAAATGGCAAGCGTGACGTCAGCGACGCGACGAACCGTCGACGGCCAACCTCTCAGCCATCGAGTGATAGTACACGTTTTGCTTATACAAAGAGAGTTCAGCTAGAACAGACCATAATATCCTTATATATATATGTATATAATAGCTTTGTAGTATTTCAAACACGTTGCCATGAATCCTAAATAGAAGTGAAATTTTAAACATAGCAATACCTAATAATAAAATATAGCATAGGTAGCTATAGCAAAGCATGTCTATTATTATGTTTGAAAGAATGATATTAAACTTTAAATCAATAATTAGTCGAAGACGAAGTTATGCCATGACATACATATATGTAAAATAAACAAAAAGTTACCCGCGACTCCGTTTGCTTTTTTTTGAGATAAGTGATAGTTAGTAATATCCCCATAGTGATACAATCTTTACGTCAAACTTTAAAATCCATTCAGCCGTTTCAGGCATATATTTTCATGTATAATATTAGCATGAATTATATTTGTTATTATTAATCGTATAAATAACAAAGTTTCACCAGAAGTTTTCTTTCCTGTACCCGTGTTTAGGAAATCCAAAAACGTCAGCTTATTAATTACTAACAACAGCACGTATTAAGTAGCAAAAATAGTGGTTTTCTCTTCTGAATATGTAATGAAGTTCGATGCCGGTATCAGGTGCGGTAGTAATGCGAGTGTAACCGAAAGTAACGTATGGTTTCAATATGTGTTATCAGAAAGCCGCCTTCCAAACGTCTTGTGTTTGCATCTTTTATTATATTACTTACAGTCTCCAACAGATGTAGTTTGAGAAGAAAATCTTTACAGTATCTTTATACGAATCCAGTAAACCGGAACGTAGCCTATGGTTTTAGCTGTTCACAAATATAGTAGATACGTGTTATTTGCAACTTTGTTGCCGTCCTTCGGAATTTTGATTAAAAACCTTTTTCAACATATTTGTAAAAGTTTTCAAAGCCCGGTCGTACGTTATGTTATTATACACATAGATTAGTCCATGACCCTGTAGTAGATTTCTGCATTTGTTTTTTCTTTAT